AAAGCAAATCACCCGGTCAGTGTAGTCCCTAGTAGGGACCCTTACATGCGTGCATCACCATGTGATGCACTCGGTACGCAATGTGTTAATTTTCGTGCAGATCGTCAGCCAGACTTATAGGCAGTTTGGGTGATCGTCAACGTATCCTGCGGCCACCCAAGACCATTTTCAACGCCATCTGACTACGCCTTCAATGGAGGAGATGTGGTGGGCGCTTGCCAAGGAAACCGAAACTGCCCTTCCTTGGCATTCGTGAAGTGCAGTTGGTGTGGCAGACAACAGCGCTTCACTTGTTTTGTTGTATCATACTTGTTGATAAACTGCTCGCAATAAGTAGAATGTTATGCACGTCAAAGACACAGGTGCGAATCATTCACTCCATCCACTAGAGGTTATTGGTGGTCCTGGTCACGACCACGGCCAGTCAGGCACTTGCTCTGGCCCTGGTGCAGTAAGGAGCCAATCAGTGGCAGCACAAAATGCAAAAACGGCAAAGCCACGAGATTCGAACCATCAACACAGTCCAACCGTCCCAGCTCGAAATCCACATCGCTATACAGCACACCATCCGTCGCTGCTGGCATCTAGGCATATGCATCAACCTAATATTTCAGCGAGAACCAGCTCGATTGGGGTAAGTATGTTTGCGCATGTGCGTTCATGTACAACACTTCTATTCACTCTAGCATTAACAATACTCCGTTCTTTCTCATGTATAGAAGTGACCTAATATTTGGCACCGATCTTATTATTCCGCACTATTTAGAGCACCACGTCCCAGCGGATAATTCAAGATTTTGCTTTTAAAAATTTAATTTTAATTACTACACTTCTCGCAGAAGCTCGAACCGGCAACATAGTCGTTCCCATTTGTCACCACTTTCTGTCAGAAAGGTAATTGCGTATATCTTCGCGACCTAGCCCTCAACGTCGGACTACACCAAAGCTTTGTTATCCATGGATGGGCCAATTTAGAGTAATCAAAGTAAATTTACTTATTCAATATAGTTAGCGTTTTCTCACCGCAACCAGCACCCAAAAAAATCTGCATAACTCAAGTGGAACCGTGTCATCTCCCATCAAGGCTAGTTTTCACTACCCCCGTGCTTACCGGGGCTCGAGCGGCTTGCCCTCAGTACGGCAGAATCTGGAACAGCCCCTTAGAAGGAAACGGTCATACCATGATTCAACCTCCGTCCCTCACTCTCTCGGTACCCTCGCAATCGTACGATTGCGAAACCGCTGTGAGGGCGCTTGGATTCATAAAAGCACATCCTTCACAGGCAGTCCTCTTCGTATCCCTCCCTCAGGCTACCCGCTCAGCTACCGAAGGAGACCCCGCGTGGCTTAACACACTCTCGGATTAGTGCCCATCCCTGGACACAGTTTGTGAATACCCTCCCACTTCGCCATCTCCACATTGGGGCTATATACGGTCATCAAGTAACTTGACCTGAATGTGTGCCGCCACCTGTCTGAATTCGGGGTATCTTTCAAAGCGTCTGAATAAGTCATTGTTCCCACAGGTCGTCTTCTGCAAACACGGCTTCCAACAACTCTCCCCTTTGGTACGGCGTTTGAAGACAAACAAGAACAGCTTCAGCGAGCTATCGACTAATTACTAGCAGGGACCTATGATGAGGTCGATGTCGCACACGTGACGGCTTTTTTCGCCAGATTGCACCGGTACATCACTAAATCCAACGATATCCGCCCTGCTTTATTCCGTGTCGGTTTCCACCAGCTCAGGTTCAGGCACTGTACTCGAAGAGAAGGATTGTTTCGTCATGGGACCGGCCAGGCGCGACGTCCACTGCATTTTACGCGATAGGTGTGGCATCGACTTGAATTGGCTTTGATAAGTCTTTGGTCTCAGTTGTAGACTTTGTCTGGATATATGACATTTGACGCCCCAAGCTTTGCTTTCCTGGTACCACCCTACAAAAATCCTCCACCCTTCGCACCACAGTACTTGAAACAACCACATGCTTCGTTTTAGAGCGGCCCACTACGCGTTCGTGACTATCATGGGCCCTGCATACCCGGTCTACGGAATCATTTTTCCCTTACGCCCGATACAATCAAATTCACCACGCTCAGGCGGTATTCGAGGATCCCCCGGATGCGGTCACGGTCGCCCCCTCTGTTTGCACTTTTGCACTTTCATTTTCAACCGACTACATCAAAATGACATTGTAGAGAAATATCCTATACAATTTGTCATTTTGACACCGATGGCTCACAAAATATTTCCTCAGCTGAATATTGGAGCCATCGGTGTCGCTAGATTCTCGGGTTTATATAACAGCTACCACCCTTCGCTTTTCCTCCATGCACCCGGAAAGAAGGAATTCTCTCAATAAACGTATTCATCTTGTCGATCATTGGTCGAGATTTTTCTGCCGATCGACTTCAGCGACTCGACAGTTTTCATCTAGATCCCGAAGGGTCCAAATAGAAATAGGGTCGTATCTCTAACGCAGTCTGCAAACAGCTTGCGGCTATCAACGCCGCAGGCTATGATCCTCGCACTCATTTACAGTCGATCACGTTAATTACTCCTTTTTTTGTACCCTATCTGATATGGCATCAGGAGCCTGGAGCTGTGAATCACCACGTACTATAATATTATGGACGGTCAGTTTCCGTAACCTGGTTTGAGCCAAGGTCGTCGCGCTTACCAATTTTCCGATTGAAACGTTTTTGCGAAACGGTCCAACGGTATTTTTGCGAGCAATCCAATAGAGTTCATTTACTTATCTATTGTCACAGTTAACGAAAAGGTGAGAAACAAGTATAGCGTCAATTCAACAATAGTACAGCATATATAGTACTTTTCTAATACAAATAAAAGGATGGATAGATAAAATTGATAATACTGCTACAATATACAATGAAGCAGGAAACGGGGTGGGAAAGCGGGGAGGTGGGGGGGAGTCCATGGGTCGCCCGGGAGAGGAAGGGCAGTGCCCCGGCCAAAACACTGCAAGCAGCTAGGAGGAATCGCAGCACCGGATACCGTCTTAAACTTCCCCAACCTCAGCGTTCACCCTGTAGCCCTTCTCTTGGCTCTTCTTTTCACCCTGTAGCCCTTCTCTTGGCCCTGCCCTGGGAGAGGCCAACCTCTCCCAGGGCAGGGCCAAGAGAAGGGCTACAGGGTGAAAAATTAACGCTGACTTACTGGGCTAAAAATGGGGGAATATCGAAGCAGAACAACAATATAGTCAACCATTAAGATTATACGTTCCACAACGATTAGCTAGATTAGATTACAAGAATCACATTTACAAGGGAGAAAGCAAAATGGAAGCGAGGAAAGCAGGAACAAACAGAAAGAAAAAAGAAAACAGAAAAAGCAGAAAGGAACAGAAAAAAGCAGAAAAGTTCAACGTTTAGAATTTTCTACGCAGTCTAGCATGTTGCTCTTAGAGATAACGGGCAAGCTGAATCTGGAACAAATGCGAACTTCTCCATCTGAAAAATTCAGGACTAAGCCTGTTCCATAATGGCACAACTCTAACAGTGAAGGCGCCCTCATAAGCCCGACTATTTGGTTTTTCTGGGCGATAGGGGTGGCCCTTGAGCCCTAATAAGGCGACATTTCGACTATGTCCTTCAAATCTAAGTCGATTTCATCGGTGAGCAGCTCGTACATCAGACCATAATCGACTACGTTTCGTCGACATTCGAGTGATACACCTCCGAGTCTCTGAAGTCGTTCAACATACGAAAGGAAAGTAATTCCCCTACGATGAAGCAGCGGTAGGTGAAACTTTTCTAAACTTTCTCTTGTACACCAATTAGTGACCTCTTGTGCGGTGACTAAATGGGCTTCATGATCGGCCTGTCGTAGAGGCTGAAAAGTCGGAAGAGCAACAAAGGATCACGCATTTTGAAAGCTCTTAGTATGAAGTTTGCCCCAGAACTGACTCTGGCAGCAAGGTCATGTACGAATCTGTCAAAATCGTAAATAACTCCTAGGTCTCGAATCTGTGTGAAGTGAGCAACAGCGAGTATAGCCGTGACTCCGACGGATCTCGCGTCATTAAAGCCTGTATTCGTTTCAGTAGGTCCAATGTAGTGGCCAACCCAATTTATGTTTAGTGTCGCGTTTTGCAAGCGCTGTCCCACGAAGCCCGTTCGTTTGTGGTTAACCGACTCACTCTCGCTCGGATCCCAGATCAAAGAAACGCAATTCGCACGGCGCAAGCCAAATCCCTCTGGTAGCTATTAAGACAGTTTCGGCGCAGCCAAAAGTTGCTGGGAGCGCTTATAGGGACACTCTCCTTCATTACCCCCAGAACTACCGTCATCGCGGTGGTAGCCCAATTTGCCGACACGCTGTTACCCTTGGGTAACTTCCCTCCAGTGAAGGTTACTTGCAATATTTTGGACACGGCTGGGCTGATAACCTTACGCGACACATTTAGGGAAGAGCTATTGGACGAGGATTCATTGGACGAGGATTCAGAAGTATGCGGGCGCTTCAAGCGATATGGAATTTCAAGTGAACGCTCAAGCGCGTGGTCAAAATAATGTTCGCTGTACGCCGACCGTCAGTCTCATGCATGACCACCCCTTCTCTTCTTAGTTCAACAGCGCGTTCTGGGGTTTTCAAGCCTTATATACAATCTTTCACAACTGTAATAGGAGATAAAGCCTCACAAATACCGGAACCGGTCCTCTTGACCATCGCAGGACGCTTGGCCCACGCGCGCCATGTCTAAATTGGTTACATCTATCAATTGACCCACACGTTAAATGTCCTCCCAACTCTATTCCAGCCCTTCATGGCGCACGTAGCGTCACAAGCCTTCACCTCGCCTCTCCGGTAGTCCCAATAGTCCCATCGGTTCCCTTTTTTAGGTCCCACCCTGCCCTCATTGCCCTGCCTCACTGCATCACCTACGATGGAGCTCTTGTGCGCGGCACGACCGCGTAGGCGCATCGCCTCCTCTTGTCAGTAATGCGTTTTCCCTCACCCGACACCCCTTTCTGCTTATAGATATGAAAGGTTTCCAGTAAGTCCTTTTATAATGAGAACGAAGCCATCATCTGCCAACACCTCTTACAACGGCTGTTCGGGACAGGAATTCCTTCGCAAAACATATGCGTAACTCTCTTTTACAGGGAGCTCTATCGCCAAGTGAAAGGAGAAAAAAGTGATCTCACATCGAACTTACCGCTGATGACTCAGTCCAAGAGTGGGGAAAGAATGTGGCAATACTTTTAACAACTTAAACAGAACTCTCTCCAGATGGTACCGGGTTCATCAACGACTACCGACGCCTTAACGTCGCGATATGTCGTTGTCGTCGCGGTAAATTCATTATCGACCACGCTGCGTCCCTCCGCCGTGTTTGGGCAGTCTCCAACAATGCCATCGTTACTCCGATACAGGTCCCGATATTTCCAACAATATTAGTTCCTTTGTTCCTTCGTGTGTAGGTGACCGTCATGAAGTCCGGGGCGGGCTTTGGATGAAGGGGGGAGGTGCAAGCCGCGCCTTACAAGCGCAGCGATCAGATGGTCATGTTTTCAGATGAATCTTCGAAGAATTTCAGGGTGGGGCAAGGAGCAGGAGGACTTCAACGAGGAATCGACGACGTCATGCCAGAAGACGGCAACTACGGTTCCACCCCCATCTCGGGGTCAGTGCCCTGGCCGCAGCTACTATCTTTCCGGTGGAACGATCTCCCTCTATCTGTGCCTATGTGTAGCCATTCCATGTTCTATACTCAGTGTACTTTTTTGATTCCTTTATGAACTTCGACTCTGCTATGGGGAACATTTGTTCCTTCGGTCGAATTGCGGATAAATAAGTCATAACCCTCCGGTTCATCACAGATGCAGAGCTGAAAAACCGCTCCGCTGTTTGCGCGACCTTGCTAAAGCTACAGGGAGAAGACGGGAGCAAAAAATGAAAGGGCAAAGGAATCCACTCCAGCAGAGGTACTCGTTCGTGGTAATTGCTCTATGGAAAACCGCGTGACTGAGTGCTTTCAGAGTTCAACGACATGCATTGTTTCATCGACCAACTGACCAGCCAACGGCGCTGGCCACATGTTGACAACGCGAGACAGATTGCGTTTACGACCGCGTGAGCGGTATCCAACGGTGTCTAGCATTGTCAACACGTGGCCAGCAACGCCATCGGTCGGTGAAACAGTGCACGTTGTTTAACTCTGAAAGCACCCAATGGTGAGGTAGTGACGCTTACAGGTTGAAGTCCACCTTTTATGATACCTGGGTTGTGATGCATTGTTGAGTGTTTTGTTTGATCAAGTAGGACAGTGCAGGATAGCGGGGTCCGACTTTGTTAGATATAGATATTTTTTCATATCATTGCATTAATATTTGGTGCCCTTATGACTGGCTTCCTCACTAAACCCTATTCTGCTTTTGTTGTATGAGATGTTGAGTTTTTTTTTCTCACCTGCTTAAACATAAACACAACAACTACTGCACTTCAAGCACTCTCTTTGAAAGTCAAATTCATCCCTTTACATGTTTTATATTAGTTCCTTTGAATCGAGAAAAGGCACCTTGAAGGCCTTTACCGCTCGCGCGCTTGTGCAACCTGCACGCCCGAGAGCGGTCGGGTTACTGTATAACACATACACGGGATGTTTAAGCGGATATTGTGGGAAACTGCTATACTAAACGCTCCTATCTAGAAATTTTACCTCCTACCTTGGTCAAATTTGCTGGGCATTCAAAGTTCTGTACGATATTACGTTATCGTCCACTACATGTACACCATATGTTTGTGCCATTCTTGGAAAACTTCGTCAACCACTGTGACCATGTTTTGCCCAACACCACCATGGTGAGTCGGAAGCAGTTGGAAGGTACTCGCATACATATGTTCCACTCTTGTTATGTGTTATGTGGAATACTGTGGAACACGGTTCATTTGCTTTTTACCAGAAGCGGTGTTCGCCAGCCCGGTCCCTAACACTTCTGGAGGACCGGTTGTGTTTTTGAAAAGAGACTTCCGGAAATTTAGTAATTGAGACATCAACTGTTTATTTACAACCTGTCAGTGGAGCTATACATGATCAACGGGATGATGCTGTCTGCGCTAGTATCACAAGTATCAGTATACAAATGCGGTGGGTGAAAATTCATTCGTAACTAATTCCGAAAATCGATAAGCGAGATGTTTTAGCCAGTAGGTAATAAGTTCTTAATGGGTCACAAGGCATATATTGGAGCGGAGATAGACAGACAAAAATATTAACCACAAATATGTTTTATAATGGCTATTTAGATTGGCATAGGGCCAATTTGCGTAAGTTTAGACGGTAACGAGTCTAGGGACATGTTGGAACTCTTGGAAGTGTGGTTCCGGTACGTCGACAGCGGCTGGTTGCTCCTGAAACTTATCATTTTGAGCCTTCCGGTGTAATTCGACAGATGTGATTACAACTGATGAAAAAGAGCTGCGGAATGGTCGTCGTTGAGCTTATCTCTTGGGATGCGCCATGCGTCCCTTCTCAACTAAGAATCGTGGAGGTGTTTGAAAGGCATTTACCTTCACATATTGCTTCAATCTTTCTCAACTCTACATAGTTTTGAAGTTTTGCATATTGTGGACATAAGTGGTCGCATGTCGATAACGAATCAGCATTTCACCCAACACGATTCGAAACCTACATTCTTTGGTTCCTCCTTGCGTACCTCGCTGTCCACAATAGCGGCCTTTTGCTGAGCGCCACGCATTTTTTGTGCTTCTTGTTCGAAATATCTGCAACTGGCGTGTTATTTTTCAATGTTGATAGATATTTAGGTAGTGTCATAACTAGTTAATTCCACAAAGTTAGGCGTGCTAATAAAGAAGCGTGCAGCAAAAGCTGACCTCAAAAATGCGGCTAGGGGATCGTGCTCCATGTCCTCATCGCTCTCGGCATCGGCTGCAGTGGTTGTAGCCTGAAAATGGAAATAATCATTCAGGTCGGCATAGTAGAGAGGCCCGTGATCTTACTTCTACGGCTATGGTGGTCCTGGCGCCAATACGTGGGAATCTGTCTTCAATGACAACTGGTCCGACTGGTCCCTCGGAGTCTTCCTCAGGAATCTGGAATTTCACGACTAAGCCGTCCTTTTCATTCCCTACCTAATGATAATCTCATATAGAAATCGGTACTCATATCTATCCATTATCTATTCATGTTTCACTCACCTGCGTTTCCTGAGCTTCCTCAGGTCTCTGCTCTTCAACCGTCTTGAACACGTTCTCAGGCTCGGGTTTCTGCTCCTCTACTGTTTTGAAAATGTTTTCAGGTTCCGGCTTTTGCTCCTCCACAGTTTTGAAAATATTCTCAGCTGGAAGGTTGACCTGAAAAACCCTCTTCAAGATATATCAGACTCCCATTTTTGTTTGGGCATAAGACAAGATCCATTAAATGACCAAAGGGACACTATGCTTCGATCTTCCCGCCTATGATTGCCGGAAATTCTTGAGGCAAATTGAGAATTGTTTACGAATCTCTATGGTATTCGTAGGGGTTCTGGTAGCATTCAAAATATCTAACCTGTGCGGCGCTGTCAACCATTCTCTTTGGAGGTTCTTTCTCGAACTTCGGCGCCTGAAATGATTGGTTGTATCATGAGAGGGCACCCAACAAAAAGTATCGTCAGAGAGCTCTAAACCTGAATCCCTTCCCTTACAGCCCTGCTTCTTTATTCACCTCTGCCATATTATGCCGTGAAGGAAATGATTAGGATTTGCAATGGAAGGATATGGTTATTTCCTTGAAGCCACGAGTTGCTTGCTATGGGAACTCGTGTACAGACACCGCCACCCAATGTTTTATCCTTCCGAATACTTCCCAATGAGAATCACTCAACGTTACTTGTCCTTGTGTTTATTTTTGAGAGTCTACCTGACAACACTTCGAAATCAAGACATGAGAAGAGCAATTTTTCAGGGCATTGCAAAAACCACTCGCGAAGAGTTATGCCCTTTCGCGAACGGAAACAAAAATAGGAATCCTCACCACTTTTTCCTCTTTCTTCTCAGTTTCATCGAACACCGACAGAATATCACGGAACATATTCTCGCCTTCCACCTGAAATTCTTTCATAAGAGTCCAACCCTATGATACTAGAAAGTCGACCAGGGCAAACTAACTTGTTTGATCTCAGCTACTTTGGCGGTTGTCGTCGGTGGAACTGTAGTCGTCGACATTTCGTTAATTTTCTTTAGATTTTCCTGGAAAATTGCGTCATGGTCATAGTTTCCAGGAGTTTCTGGCGTGGGCGTGATAGCGGTCCCTGAAAGGAGAAAATTTTGTGCTTGAGTCACTGCAAGCTTTGGGCCAAGCAACTTACAAATAGGTTTGGAGGGAACGTTGAATTCCATGGACTGCGATTTCTTCTGAAATAAGAGATTATAAAAGGTTGTCTTGACAGGTTCTATCGTCCCCTGTGAATAGGGGGACTATGTCCCCATAGCAGCATTCAGAAATCCCACCAGTCACTGGTGGCATTCATGATTGCTCTTCTTTCACAACGAATATTACGGGGGATCATCTTATATTTTGCTTTGCTTCACTAAACAGGCAGCACAACAAAGGATTAAACTCTCGGAACGGCATTTTATGATTTTGTGCTATTTTACAATAGTTTCATCGTAAATTTCACTAGCCTCCCACCTGCATCACCTGGTAGATCTTGTCGTGCATGCCCATTTCCGGTGCGGGTGGAACAGTCGGCTGTTGCATGGAGAGAATCTGAGCTGGAGATGCATCGTGTGGTCGTGTTGGCATCTACAAATCAACCGGAAAGTATTTCTTTGCCCATGCTTGTTTATAAATGCATATTTCACTTTAATAGCTACATAGGGTTAACGGTTTGTAGGAAAAGCCAGTTTGCCAAACGACCGACGTCACCTACTGAATCTCATCCATTTGAGTACTACCGACCTCTAGGTAATACACATTGAAACTCACTTGCTGCGGTGGCTGCTGTTGGAAGTTTGCCCACTGTGGCTGCTGAAATCACAGAAAATTAGGGCGGTCTCGATCAATTTATTTGCTTTTGTAGAACTTTCAGTCTTCACTTCACACTCGTTTGAATGTGAAGTATGGTATCCTTTAGGCAACACCGTTCCTGCTCAAAATAAATTATAGGGGTTTTCCTC